GTGTGTGTGTGTGTCTGTCTGTCTGTCTGTCTGTCTATCTATCTATCTATCTATCTATCTATCTATCTATCTATCTATCTATCTATCCACCTTCTAATCATTTATTATCTATATATGCAATATCCATCTATCTCTATGTATCATCCTTTTTATATTACAAAAATAAACTGAGCAACAGTTATCTATCCAGACTTGGAAGTCTGTAGGGCTATATTAACCTTGAGCACATCAGGATCAAACTACAGACTCTGGGCAGAGTTACCCTGTTGTACTATATTCTCATTACTGTGCCATCAGGGCTCTTTCTGACTTTCTGAAAACAAATAGGGAGGGGGACAGCAATTGAGGAATCATGATTCCATGCATTTGTAGATGACAATCTCTAATTAATACTTGAGATGATAGCTCCAAAATTCCCATGTCCTGAAACAGGGCTGAAGGTACATATAAAATTATTTAAGCTATTGAATTCTGGATCAATTATAGCTACTTAATGCCTTTTAAGACAAACTCCATGAAATACTTCTGCATTATATAAAATATATAAAGACCCAAATGTGCTTTTTCAAGAGGCAACCGGACTTTCTTGTTTTTCTTTAAAGATGTTTCATTTCCCATCCAAGAAGGTTCTTTAGCTCTGACTGGATGGTGGGGAATGGAAAGATTTATATTTCTTGCAGAGCTATCCATCTGTATTTAAAGGACAAAAGCCAGTCTTTTGAAATCAGCAATGTCCACATTTTGTACAGAGAGGCCTGCTGGTTGGAAAGAGGGGTTAAAGAGGCCATCTATGTCAAAATTGTGCAGGCCTCTCTCAACAGAGGGGGGGAATATAATGTTATCTATCTCCTGTCTATAACACAGTCCTTTCAGCACTTCCAAAAAGGCTCCACACCCATTAGCACTACTCACGTGAGCCTGAGGGGACAGATAAACCTCCAAGTGGCCTCAATGACTCTCTAAAAGAATGCAAATGACCAGCTGTCTGCAAGGAATATAAATCCTTCCATTCACCACCATTCAATCTGAACTGAAGAAGTTTCTTAGATGAGAATTAAAACATCTTCAAAGAAAAGAAACCTTATTTTGGAGTATAAGACGCACCGGATTATAAGACACACCCAAGTTTTGAAGAGGCAATTGTTTTTTTTAAAAATGTAGGTAGGTAGATAGAGGGATAGAGAGGGAGAGAAATACAGTAGATATGTGTGTGTGTGTCTCTGTCTGTCTGTCTGTCTCTGTGTCTCTGTGTCTCTGTGTCTCTGTGTCTCTGTGTCTCTGTGTCTCTGTGTCTCTGTGTCTGTGTCTGTGTGTCTGTGTGTCTGTGTGTGTCTGTGTGTGTCTGTGTGTCTGTGTGTCTGTGTCTGTGTCTGTGTCTGTGTGTTTGTGTGCAGGGATAAATAGAAAGATAGATGGAGAGATAGAGAGAAATACAGTAGATAGGTAGGGAGAGAGAGAATAGGTAGGTTGGTAGGTAGAGGGATAGAGAGAAAAATATAGAGAGAGAAATACAGTAAGGTGTGGGGAGAGAAATACAGTAGGTAGATAGGGAGAGAGAGAGTGTGTTTAGATAGGTAGGTAGGTAGGTAGGTAGGTAGAGAGATAGAGAGAAAGAGAGAGAGAGAGAGAAATACAGTAGATAGGTAGGAGGAGAGAGAGGGGATGTAGGTAGGTATTTAGGTAGAAGGGGAGAGAGAGCAAAATATAGTAGGTAGGTAGGGAGTTATTTCCTGGTGTATTTATCCATGTGCTGGAGAAGAAAATTACAACCTATAGCACCTAAAACTTTGTTTCTGCTGGCATAGCACTTGATCAATGTAATTGTCATCAACCATTCTAACTAAACAGCTTTCTGAAAGGGGAAAATGTTTGTGCACTTTGCAAATCTCCCCAAAACAACCTGTTTTCCACAAAAATTAGTTATAATGACAAAGGAAAAAAAACTTTCCACAGCAATCCCATTTGGATTATTTTCGCCACTCAGTTCTTTTGTTTAAGGATCAATTTGGCTTTAAAGAAACATTTCTTTGGGCAGTCTTTAGCAAAATAGAGAAAGTGAGCCTCACCAGATGGGCTCACTTTCTCTTTTCACTTCCTTCCTTCCAGAGCATCCTGACTTCATCAGCCTAGGGGCTACCTGTTTACTGCAGGCTTGAAACACTTCCCTTGAGTCTATCAGGGATTTTGCAATATTCCTGAGACCAG